AGCCATGGGGAGGGGGCTGGGGGAGCGGGCAGGGGTCAAGGGGCTGACAGGGGTCCCCCCATGGTCCCTTCCCCCAGGTCCCCTCCCCTAGTACTTACCAGTTCAGAGTCAGCTGCAGCCACCGGGGACTGTCTGAATCATCAAAACTCTCTGAATCTTTTCTAAAGATCTGGAGAGATTTGAATCAATTTGGACCTTTAAATTGGTCCCCTGATTCAATTCGGATTTGGAGATTCGGCCATCAAATTGGGCCAAATCTCCTCCAAATCAAATCACCACTGAAGCTTCGCACAGCCCTAGTGTTCGGATCTCAGATGTTTGATATAGTCCTTGAAAAAATCTGGCAAACCAGCCAATACTTCTAATTCAACCATGTGTCTTTGTTGCCAAACTCTCTGTATGATAAAATCAAGCACAGAGATTTCAATCAACTGGGCTTTTTTAATCCATTTTATTTTGGTCTTCATAAGTCAATATGATTTTAGGCTAAGACTAACCAGTGGGAAAGAGATGAACCACTGTTCCCAGTTTCACAAAGCCTGGAAGCTCTGCCAGCCACAATACCTTTCACCACCAGTCTATGTCCCATAGTGAGTCATGAAAAATTAAAAAGCTTCTTTGGCAAAAGTGAAGGAGGCACCAAGGATAAACTGAATGGGGGAAAAAACACACCACAGTAAAACAACTTGAAGCTGACACCATCTGCTCGGAAAGAATGGGCACACAGAAGCTGATAGAAAACATTTGCAGTAAATGCCATCAATAGATACCGTCTGTTTTCTTACATTGTACAGGAATTCTGGCTTTACTTTGAATGCTCAGCCTGCTGCTGAGTTGGCAAGCCAGATGCCAAACATCTTCAAGCCTAAAAGGTTTTCAATACATTTTTACCACTTAAGTAAGAAAAAGCCCAGAGGGACATTTTTAGAGGATGCCTCCAAGTTAAGTTTGGGACTTTGACCAGTAGAGTTTCATGTATAGGTAGGAAAAGCCTAACTTGATGCATGCCATGTTTATCCTGGTTTGGAATTTGATGGCATTAAGGAAATTGAGATTTTATTAAAAATAATGATTGTGGCATGTTTTTACGAGTTGCAAAGGATACAATATGATCTAGATACTGTGCGGGCCCTCTCCCGATCCCACCTGGATCGCCATGTGCGAGTTCTCTGTAATGGTTGATTGAAAAGATTATTTACTTACACCCAAGGTGGTCGTGGTGTAGGCTGGTCAGCTTTCCAGGCACAGCTCCACTTGAGTTCTCGGTGGAGGACTCTAATAAACTCGGTTCCTTGACCCTGGAGTGATTCAGGCTCCACGGGTTCAAGAATTCGTTCCCACAGAGCAGCTGTATCTCCGTGAGTGTTACTCGGTTCCCAGGTCCCCCGGAGCTGTTAAGACTCCGTGGGTTCGACAATTGGGTCCTTAGGACAGGGATACGTCTGGACTGCGATTGGCGACGGGGAGAGGCTAGAGGTTATGTGCCTCGGAGTTGTTAAGGCTCTGAGGGTTCAGTAAATAGGTCCCCCGGAGTTGTTGAAGCTCCGTGGGTTAGACAAATTAAACCTCTGTTGCCCTCTTAAGGAAAAAGCTGGGTTCGTATGGATCAGCAGTGCTTAGAGATCTTCACGCTCCTTTCCCGAACTCCACGTGCTTTCTCTCTCTCCAACTTGGGCGGAAACTACCCAAGCCTTTTGTATGGCTAGCAAGCCAATAGCTAGCCGCCACGTATGCCTACATTTAGAACCGGCCAATAATGTGGCACATATCTAAATACAAATGGCAGGAACTCCTTTGCATCGTGCATCACTATAATGCAAAAGAAATGCACTATGCAAAGAAAGCTACACAACTGGCGGGAAAAGCTCCTGCACGTGGGTTCTCCGTTACAACAGAACACTCCACCGTGCAAAAGAGCTGCAATTTGGCGGGAACATGATTTAGCGATGCCGAAGCACACACAAACAAGAAAAACCACAACTTTGGGTTGTGACAGATACAGCAAGGAATTGGGAGTCAGGAGACTTGATTCTTAACCTAGCCTTCACATTTATTCTCTGTGTTGCTTTCAGCAACTCCTTCAATATCCATGTCTTAATTTCCCCATCTGCAAAATGGGAAAAATAATATATCTCATCTGGATATTAAAATAGTTCACTTTAGTGTGATCAGGAGATGCTTACACCCATGTCTACACTCTAGTTTCTCCCCAGGCACCTTACTGTTACTCTAGCAGTTACCCAAGGTCTGCCCTTTTCAGAAGGCTTGTCTATTGCACAGGCTTTTAAGTTACTAACACCAGGGGTGTCAAATACCTAGCCCACAGGCTAGATCTGGCCCATGAAGCCACTCCATTTGGCTCAGCAAGGGGAGTGGCTTGCCACAGAATCCAAAGTCACTGGGCCCTGGTAAGCATGGTGATCTGCACAAGGTCACCCTGTGGCTGCTTGGCCCATTGCCACTTCCACTGCCATCCTTGCCCTACCTCCTTCATCCCCAGCTCTGTTGCCCCCATGTGCCACAGGCCAGATCCTGAGGAAGTCAAGGACTCTTGGATGCCAGGAGTCCTGAAGTCTGGATCTAGCCGGGAGCATGAGGTGAGTGTGACACCCTTGGCTAACACCAATGCTTATATAGTACCCAACATACTAGTGATCCTTCTTAGGCTCTTTATATGTAATAATAAGAATAAGAGTATAAGAATAATGAGTATCTTGGGTTAATAAACACTTCCACAGTTTGAGTTCTCTGCATTTAAACTGAATTTTGTTCTTTAGATTCTACAGAAAAAGGGTTCAAAAGATGGTTTGACTGGCAATCAGAATAATTACCCTGGGAGATTAAAAGCATTCTGAATTTTTTTCTTGTTATTAATTTTATACACCATGTTCTGCTGGCTGTGTGGCTCCCCTCTATATATTTTTGTCTGATGCTGAAATCTATTTGATGTGAACAATAGCCATCATTTTAATGGATATTGTTAATTCCTTGTTTTTGGCATAATAGATAACAGCTATTTTAATTAAACCACTTGCATACACACTGATCGCTGGCAGGAAGGTTAAGAGAATGTTTGCAATGGCATGAACAGGGACAGAGAAACACAGCAAAAGAAATAATATGTGAGAGTCATGTGCCAGTCCATTATCTCTTCCATACATAGGGGCTTCATGCTGTCTGCTTGTAATTAGACAAACACATAGCACTTCTCAACCTGCCATATCCCAAATTATTGTGTGTTCTTATTTGGTATCATTCTTTCTGAGTGTCCAAGATATAACAGAAATGGGGCTTCGGGGTGAGATTTCTAAGACACTGGATATATTATTCATTAATTTGCCTTTTCATACTTCATTTGACTACAGCACAGAATCCTTAGAGAAGTTGGTAAATTTATCCTCACAACACCC